GGTTTCCGCTATAGTATCATCATTCTCTCTCACATAATTGAATGCCTGATTAGGAGAGAGGTGGTGTGGTTCTCTGGGAGTGAGACCACCTCATGGAAGTGTCTTTCCCAGATGAATGTCATAGAGTCACAACAGGAAAAGTTAGGAAGTACCATTAGATCACTTTGGACAAAAAAAAAAAAAAATGCTATATAGATGCCGAGATTTATAACAGATCTATTGGAGAAATACAAGTCACTATGCTAAATTATTTTCTACTTACCTTCACCAACTTCTGCAAGAATGCATATTTTAAAAAGGAGACAAATCATTGCATTAAAATGTACTTGCTCTAGCATTTTGTAAACTACATCAAATAATGAAGAAAACCAAAACTATATTACAAACTTCCTGTATCAATTCCAACTATCACCTTTCACCAAATGAAAATTCAGATTATTACCAATTCACTTTCAATTAAGTGCTCCTCTGGTATACAAAACCAAATAACATAAAATTCAAGTAATACAACATACAAAACATAAAAGTAACATTTTAAATTTTTCATAATTTTTTTAAGTACTGTAAAATCTTGTAGCATAATATAAATGTTTCTTCTAGAAAGTTGAAGAAGATACACACAATGAGGAAGAAAAAATATGAGAATATCACACTAATCAATGATATCAAACACAGGATATGAACAACTGTTAAAAAGGCTATCAATGAAATTAATTCTACTGTACCTACACCTGGCTATTTCTTACCAGTAAGTAATTTTTACCATAAACAAATAGAAGAGTATATATTATATAATGAGATCAATAGTTGTGTACTTTTCCTTTTAAAATTAAATGTACTTTTTATTGGCTTGCTGTATTCTCAGGTAAGATAGTGTAAGAACCCCTTTATTTCCTAAAGACCTTTGCATTAAGGAGCCTTACTGGGACCTTGATCAACTTAACTTTGTGCTATGCTAAACCCTAAGTGGAACAACATTCCTCTCATCCTATCTTTTATTTGTTGTCATTTCAGGGAGTACATCCACCTAGCAAACGCTAAGTGGTGACTAATAAACCCAGGACATGCAAGGCTGGGTGTGGGCCCCTATGCAGTCTGACAATGGCCCACGGTCTCAGAGATTTTATTCAGGCTCCTGCACAAGGTTCTGCAAGAGGGACCTCGTGCTTACAACCTCCCATTTTTATCCCAGTCTTTGGAGGTTCTTTATGACACATGGAAACCCTGGTGGTGTAGTGGTTAAGAGTTCAGCTCCTAACCAAAACATCAGCAGTTCGACTCCACCAGGCGCTCCTTGGAAACCCTATGCAGCAGTTCTACTCTGTCCTATAGGATCACTGTGAGTTGGAATCAACTTGACAGCAATGGGTTTGGCTTTTTTTGGTTATGACACAGATTCTATATGATAAAGAACAAAGATAAAGTGTTTTCCTAGAATCAGACGTGGAGATCATCACCATATTGAACTCTTCTGAATAAAGTTGATGCTAATCTCATACTATCTTCCTAGACAATAACACATAACACTTTAAAATTTAAAAAAAAAAATAATGCCTCCCTCCAAAAGGTTGAGATGAAGCCAGGAGGTTGTGAGCATGAGGTTCCCTTGCAGGACCTTGTGCAGGGGCCTAAAATAAAATCTTTGACACCGTGGGCCATTGTTGGTTCTTAAAGGGAACTCATGGAGAAGATAACTACATGTAATAATAATAATGATAATAATCGCACACACGTATACCGTGCCAGACACTGCATTTTGAATGCAGTTCTTATTGCATTCTAAATACATTCTTAATGCATACATTAACTCGTGTAATATGCAAAACAATCCTATTCTGCAGATACTATTCTCATTATTTCAACAGATGAGGATACTGAGGTACAGTGGTTAGGAAACTTGCTTAAGGTGATTAAGTTGATAACTAAGAAGTGGCAAAGCCCAGGCTACACGCTCTTACCTTACATTATCCTCTTTTACCACAAGTCCAGATTAAGTGTCTAATGACTATCTTTCCCTCTATAAGCCAACAAGAGGGGAAAAAAATTAAAATTCCAAACTCTAATACCTATGTTATCATTTAGGCACATTTATGAATAGTAATGATGCTCTTCTATTTACTCTTCATTTATGGATCAGAATCCAGGATTCCTAATCAGTCCATCAAGGGGAAGTCAGGAATTTATTACGGCAAAACAAAGAAAAATCAAGGGATAAAACAACCAAATTCCATAAAACTTTGTTACAGAAATTTGATCCTCTATTCTGTACGACAAATACAAACTGCTCTCCTAGAATCAGGCTTGGAGATCATCACTCTGTTGAACTCTTCCAAATAAAGTTGATGGCAATCTCATGTTATCTTCCTTGACAATGACACAAAATACTTTAAGATGACAGAAGTACCAAAAAGCACCAATAAGAAAAATTTTAGAAGAAAAAAAAGATTACATCTGAACCTTGTGTAATTAAAAAAAGACTACTTCAAATGAGATTACACTAAATGAATTTCTCTAGTTTGCCTCTCCTCATTAATCTCTGAAAGTAAACAAAAGAATGAAGAAAAGCACAAATAATAGCAGTAAGTGAAAAGATTCATAGGGAAGAGGTAAGGCAGCAGTCACTCCTTTGAAGACAATAGACAGACCTGTCCCTTCAGTGTTTTCTTGGCCAAAATAGAATGGGAAGCTTAACCTTCTGGTTGTGGTTAAAACTGGATGGCTGGAGGCAATGGTTCTCAAACTTTGGTATACACAAAAATACTGGAGAATTCTAGTATCTCATTCCCCAATTTAGAGACCATCTTAAGAACAGATTTGATGCATTGAACACTAATGACCAAAGACCAGACCGGTTGTGGAATGACATCAAGAACATCATACGTGAAGAAAGCAACAGGTCATTAAAAAGACAGGAAAGAAAATACCAAAATGGATGTCAGAAGAGACTCTGAAACTTGCTCCTGAACGTTGAGTAGCTAAAGCAAAAGGAAAAAATGATGAAGTAGAAGAACTGAACAGAAGATTTCAAAGGGCGGCTCAAGAAGACAAAGTATTATAATGACATGTGCAAAGATCTGGAGTTAGAAAACCAAAAGGGAAGAACACAGCTGGCATTTCTCAAGCTAAAAGAACTGAAGAAAAAATTCAAGCCTCTAATGTAATATTGAAGGATTCTCTGGCAAAATACTGAATAATGCATCAAAAGAAGACGGAACGAACACAGAGTCACTGTACCAAAAAAAAAATTGGTCAATGTTCAACCATTTCAGGAGGCAGCATATGATCAAGAACCCATGGTACTGAAGGAAGAAGTCCAAGATGCACTGAAGGCAATGGCAAAAAATAAAGCTCCAGGAATTGACTGAATATCAATTGAGATGTTTCAACAAACAGACGCAGCGAAGAAGGTGTTCACTTGTCTATGCCAAGAAATTTGGAAGACAGCTACCTGACCAACCAACTAGAAGAGATGCATATTTATGCCTATTCCAAAGAAAGGTGATCCAACAGAAGGCGGAACTTAAACAATACATTGATATCACACACAAGTAAAATTAAGCAGTACATCAAAAGGGAACTGTCAGAAATTCAAGCCAGGTTCAGAACACGATGAGGAACGAGGGATATCACTGCTGATGTCAGATGGATCTTAGTTGAAAGCAGAGAATACCAGAAGGATGTTCACCTATGTTTTATTGGCTACGTAAAGGCATTTGACTGTGTGGATCATAACAAACTATGAATAACATTGCGAAGAATGGGAATTTCAGAACAGTTAATTGTCCTCGTGAGGATGTGTACATAGACCAAGAGGCAGTTCTTCAAGCAGAACAAGGGGATACACTGTGGTTCAAAGTCAGGAAAGGTGTGCGTCAGGGTAGTATTCTTTCACCATAATTATTCAACCTGTATGCTGAGCAAATAATCTGAGAAGCTGGACTACATGAAGGAGAACGGGGCATCAGGATTGGAGGAAGACTCATTAACAACCTGTGTTATGCAGATGACACAATCTTGCATGCTGAAAGTGAAGAGGACTTGAAGTACTTACTGATGAAGATCAAAGAGTACAGCTTTCAATATGGACTGCACCTCAACATAAAGAAAACAAAAATCTTCACAACTGGACCAATAAGCAACATCAAGATAAATGGAGAAAAGACTGAATTTGTCAAGGATTTCATTTTACTTGGATCTACAATCAATGTCCACGGAAGAAGCAGTCAAGAAATCAAAAGATGTTATTATTGCATTGGGAAAATCTGCTGCAAAAGACCTCTTTAAAGCGTTCAAAAGCAAAGATGTCACTTTCAGTACTAAGGAGCACCTGACCCAAGCCATGGTGTTTTCAATAACCTCACATGCATACACAAGCTGGACAATGAATAAGGAAGACCGAAGAAGAATTGACAGCTTTGAATTATAGTGCTGGCAAAGAATATCGAATATACCATGGACTGCCAGAAGAACAAACAAATCTGTCTTGGAAGAAGTATAGCCAGAATGTTCCTTAGAAGCAAAGACGGTGAGACTTCGTCTCACATACTACTTTGGGCATGTTATCAGGAGGGACCAGTCACTGGAGAAGGACATCATGCTTGGTAAAGTAGAAGGTTAGTGAAAATGAAAAAGACCCTCAATGAGATGGATTGACACAGTGGCTACAACAATGGTCTCAAGCACAACAATGATTGTGAGGATGGCACAGGACCAGGCAGCGTTTCGTTCTGTTGCACACAGGGTCACCAAACCAACACGATACCTCCTAACAACAACATTCCCCAAAATTCTAACTCAGTAGCCTTGGAGGTGGGACAAAAGAATCTTCCATTTAACAACCCTCCCGGTGATTTTAACTGGGTTACTTGCAGATTATGTTCTAAGAGATCCTTAGGAGGGAAATGCAGATTCATTGCCCAGTAACCACTAAAAAGATACTTTATGCTAACACAACTTATGCTAACACAACTTCACAACATTCACGGTTTCCGGTCTCCTACCTGTGTCAGCATCCTTAGGCCTGTGGTCTTCATCAGGAGGTTTAGACAGAGGCCAAACAGATGGGGTTCGCCTGGGAAACTGCCCTTCTGCGTAATCCAGTGAGTGTGTGGGTTGACTAACTGCAGCCCAGGTGTAAAGTTGATCTTGCTATATTTAAAAAATAAAATTTTTTAAAAAGCTATTAATTGAATCATGAAAAAATACAGCATTGTCAACGTAACATCATTTCTGTTTAACTCATATAAACGTGTATATGCATAAAAATAAAACAGAATTTTATACTAGTCAATGTAGACTCATAACAAACATTCTTCCACAGTCACCTCACTTTCATAACCACACTTGTCACAATTTCTTTTCTATGGTAAAATCAAAGCCTTGTTCTTTGGAAGTAGAGACGGTATGTAGGCCTGCAGGGAATTACGAGAAAAAAGCCAGACACTCAATCTGAGAACAACTTGAATTAGCACCTTTAATACATTTGAAGATGTCCCTTTAAAAATTGTTTATTCATTTACCAAAGGACAGGCTGTACTTGGGTGCTGCTGGACAATAATAGCTTCCTTGCCTTCCACAACAAAAGGTCCAGGAAATGAACTTATCTTGGGTACAGGTTGGGAACCGTTTTGAGAGACAAACCATGAAAAAGCCAATGAGCCTGCCAAGAGAAAAAAAACTGGACAGGGATCTTTTGGCAAAGAAAAAAGGCCTTCCTAGCTGCAGACCAGCATAATCTGGACAGAATTAGAAGAAGGTCGTAATTACACCTGGTGCCAGGAGGAAAACTGGAGATTTCACAAAGAGCACCAGCGTAAGGCCTATAAACCTTGGAAAACAGCTTATTAGGATTTCAGAGTAACAACATGTTTAACCAATTTAAGATACATCAGCTCAGTACATGCAGCCCAATGTTCCCTTTGTGGCATTTTCCTTCCTTACTTACAGGTATATTTCCTGATACCTTTCGATTAACATCAAGTAAAATAAAGAGAAGACCAGTACAGTAAAGGTGAAGTGCAAACTAAAAAAAAAAAATCACTGTAATCACCATGTTAACCCTGGTGGCTCAATGGTTAAGCGCTACACTGCTAACCAAAAGTCAGCGGTTTGAATCCATCGGCAGTTCCATGGGAGAAAAGATTTAGTGATCTGCTCCCAAAAAGATTACAGCCTAGGAGCCATAAGTACAATGCTCCATTAAAAACCCTTCAGTTTGAGACTAAAAGGTCAACAATTACTCTAAAGCAAAGATGAGAATACAAAGGGACAGGAAAACTAGAGCACTGGAAACGGAACAACCAGAATGCAGTTAAAGAGAATGTTGACACATTGTGAAAAATGTAGCTAATGTCACTGAAAAACTTGTATAGAAATAAAACATTATTTTTTAAAAAAGACTATAGCCTAGTAGACCCTATGGGGCAGTTCTACTCTGTCATATAGGGTCATTATAAGTCAGAATTGACTGGAGGACACACAGCAAGAGATTGTAAAGTAAACTGGGTTAACCAATGGATAGATGTTGCTATTTGTGTAATTTAATAAGTTAACAAATTTATAAAATATTCTTCAGTATTGAGAGTAAGATAAAATGCATGTCAGTTGGTTTAATCTTTACCGTTAAGGGACAATTACTTGCTCCAGCTAAGAATGCAGACACCAGGGCTCAGCTGGGATTGTATCAGAAAGCACCCCATTTCAGACCTGGCTAAGTATTTCTGGCACTAACATCTCTTTTAGCTATTCATATCTTAAATAACACCAGAAACTCTGCTATTTAACATACTGAATATCAGAAATATATTTTCATTGGTGAAACTAGTGGTTTGTTTAATTAACATGATGAATGTTAAAAATGAGCTCTCAATGGTTAAACTGAAAAACTCAGTATGTGTGGATTGGCTAAAATACCAGAGACTATCCCCATACTTACAATGAGCAGGGTAAAGATTTGGGCAAGAGATGATGGCAAGTCTTCCTACCTAAACAGTGCTGCATCCAGCCACTGGTTACGAGGATTGCTCCTTGCCTGTTGCCAACAGGCACAGAATCCTGCCTGTTGCCAACAGACACAGAAAGTTGCTCTGTCTACATCCCTTGAGTCTTTTGTGCAAGGTTTAGTCAAGTACCTAACCAGATACCAAGCTGGAAATTCCCTGAGTGTGCTTGTATGGACTACTTTGTGCATACTAATGGTTGTGTGTTTACTAAACATCCATACGTTTGGCAGAATTTCCTTTGAGATTTGCTTTCATTAAAATCCAGCAAGTTGCAAGGTTGTTAGGGAGTAGCTAAGTCTCACCCATTCGACAGTTGTGCATGACCAAACTGGTTTAGGTCAGTTCTTAACAGGTGATATGACTATTGCTCTGGCTCAAGAAAAGCATCGAAATGCAACTCCCTTTCCCCATCATCCCTTCCTCCAATTAGTGATCATGATACCTATTTAGGAACGTACCTACTCCACACACTCCCAGAATATCCCTCCCCAAAACAATTCAAATCTTTGCTGCCATTGCCCTCACATCAGTTTTCAGTACAGCAGAATCAAATGGATGTGTCCACAACAACAAGCTTCTATCAAGGTCACAGAGAGTTGGCCAAAACGCTGTTGTAACAGAGTGAGCAAGACCTTGAGCCCTGGAACTAGACAGACCTGGGGTCACATCTCAGCACACGTGAGCTGAAAGAAGTCCACTTAAAAACTCCCAAGCATCAGTTCCTGGTGTGTGAAATGTTGACAGAACGTTTACCATGCAAGGCTATTAAAATGAGATGATACATGTAAAATGCTGTTATGGATTGAATTGTGTCTCCCATATATGTGCGTCAAATTGTCTAGGCCATGATTCCCAGTACTGTGTGACTGTCCATCATTTTGTCATCTGATGTGATTTTCCTATGTGTTGTAAATCCTATCTCTATGATATTAACGAGGCAGGATTAGAGGCAGTTATGTTAATGATACAGGACTCAATCTACAAGATTAGGCTGTATCTTGAGTCAATCTCTTTTGAGATATAAAAGAGAGGAGTGAACACGTGGGGCAGGGCAGGGGGACCCTCCTATCACCAAGAAAAAAGATCCAGGAGAATAGCGTGTCCTTTGGACCCAGGGCCCCTGGGCTGAGAAACTCCTAAACCAGGGGAGGATTGATGACAAGGACCTTCCCCCAGAGCCAACAGAGAAAGCCTTCCCCTGGAGATGGCACCATGAATTTGGACCTCTAGTCTCCGAGACTGTGAGAGAATAAACTTCTGCTTGTTAAAGTCATCTACTTGTGTTTCTGTTATAGCAGCACTAGATAACTAAGACAAATGTTTAGCACAAAGGTTGGCCTGGGGGACTGCAGTGGCTGAAGGACTCCACACTAGGCATCACAACCAATGAAAAGGGACTCTTGCATAGAGAGCTTCATCAGCCTAACACACCCACTCAGCCACGGGCCACTGCCTCCAAGAGGCAGCACCAATATCCGAGGGGAATGAACTGTCTGACTTGGTTTCATCACTCACTGAAATGAAAAATATATGAAAAGCATGCTACAAAACCTTATACAAATGAAAACTCTTTTGGTCAGCTTTCCAGTCTTTCAGCTACACCCACAGGATTGTACTATAATACAGTGCTATGATGATAAATCTCAAAGCCTCTTATTGGTCATGTAGCTCCCCTAGCAGAAAATACACAAAACACAAATTTCTTTCATGGTTCCTCAACTTCAACAGAATCAAATCCCACCATTTCAACCTGATTATCGTTTGAAATGTTCTACAGTCTTCCCATCCATCCACCCAACTACATCTCTAGATGTTTTCTAAACTGAATGACAATGAAAATACAACATACCATAATTTTTAGGATGCAGCAGTCACGTATAAAGAGAAAATTTTAAACTTAAATATATACATTTAACAAATAAAAGGCTAAAAATCAGTAAGTTAAATATTCATCTCAAGAATTTAGGGGAAATAATGTTAACAGCAACCAAAAAATATGTGTGTGGTTACACAAATATACACATAGGTATACAGCTCAAAAAAAAGCTGCTGTTGAGTTTAATTCCAACTCATAGTGACCCTATAGGGCACAGCAGAATTGCCTACAGGGTTTTCAAGGCTGTAAATCTTTTACGGAAGCAGGCTGCCACATCTTTCTGCCACACAGTGGCTGGTGGGTTCAAACCAACCACCTTTCAGTTAACAGACAAATGCTTATCCACTGCACCCCAAGGCTCCTTCCATATATAGGTATATATCAAAACCAAAAACCCATTGCTATCAAGTCAATTCTGACTCAAAGCAACCCCACAGGACAGAGTAGAACTGCCCCATAGGGTTTCCAAGGCTGTAAATCTTTTCGGAAACAGACTGCCACATCTTTCTCCAGTGGAGCGACTAGTAGGTTTGAACCACAGACCTTCAGGTTGACAGCTGAGCACTTTAACCACTGCACCACAGGTTTCCTTATCTAGGTATATAGGGATATGAATATGTGGGGACATATGTATGCACAGATAGATGTAACTATATAGGCATAGGTACATACAGACATGTGTCTGCATGTACATACGTTTTAGTCATCTAGTGCTGGTATAACAGAAATACCACAAGTGGATGGCTTTAACAAAGAGAAATTTATTTTCTCACAGTTGAGTAGGCTACAAGTCCAAATTCAGGGCATCAGCTCCAGGAGAAGGCTTTCTCTCTCTGTCAGCTCTGGAGGAAGGTCCTTGTGATGCATCAGTCTTCCCTTGGTCTGGGAGCATCTCAGCACAGGAACCTCAGGTCCAAAGGACGTGCTCTGCTCCCAGCACTGTTTTCTTGGTGGTATGAGGTTTCCACATCTCTCTGCTCGTTTCTCTCTTTTATATCTCAAAAGAGATTGGCTTAAGACAATATCTAATCTCACAGACCTCAGCAACATAACTGCCACTAATCCATCTTATTACATCACAGTGATAGAGTTTACAACACATAAGGAAATCTCATCAGATTACAAAATGGTACACAATCATACAATACTGGAAATTATGACCCAGCCAAGTTGACAGATATTCTGGGGGGACAAAATTCAATCTATGACAACTTATATCCATATATATAATAAACCACATAGGGGGCAAAATTACGGATACTTCTTAGACC